ACACCTAGGGCTATTTCCTCAAAACAGAGCCAACTCTGTTGGGAAACTGAGTGCCTGGTGATAGGAAATAGGCCGTGGGCAGGATCGAACCTCCCATGGAGGCCCGGAGTCTGGGAGGCTCTGAGAACCATCAGCCATGTGGAAATCTTGCCAGGCCACATGGCAGGTATCGCCATGGGTGTGGACTGCACAGGGAAGGTCCTGGCACCCAGCGCTGCTCCCCAGAAACACCTGGTTCCTGCCCCCCTCTGTGGAGGGCTTGGCTCATGGTGCCATAAAGGAGGGTTGGGTTGGTCGAGGGTCAGGGGCTAGGTCACCCCAGTGAAGGCTGAGGCCTGTTGGAACAGGCTTTCTGATTCCAGGGTTCGCTGGGTCAGCGGGCTGCCTCAGCCCTGCACATCACAGGCTGAGGAGGAGCTGGAGAGTGGCAGCCAGGCCACGGAACAGGGTACCCATGAGAACAGGGTACAGGCTAGCCCCCTGCCGCCAGACTGCCCCGGGGGCTGTGCTGAGGCTACCTTCACAGCCCGTCTTGGCTTGTCTCATGTCCTTGTCTCTCCTCCTTGGCATGAAGCCCACCCGATCCCCGCTGTGGGCCCTGGCCACCCTGCAACCTTTGCCCATCCTCCCCTACCCGCTCCCGTCCCCTCCACGGCAGAGCCTTTCTTAGTGTATTGCTGAGTTATGATTCTAGAATCCTAGAACTAAGAGGAAGGGCCTGGAGAAGAGGTCAGGGAGCTGGTGTTTCTTGAGCACCTGCTGTGTGTGAGGAGCCTCCCTGTGATTTCACAACCACTCTCTGATCTTTGCGACATCCTTGGAAAGTAGAGGTGACTGCCCCCACTTATAGAGGATACAGAGGCCCCTGAAGATGAAGTGATTTACCCAAGGCTACTCAGCAGGTTGATGGCACAATTGGGATTTGAACCTGCTCCACCAAGCTTTAAAGATCGAGCTCTGTGTGGGCTGGCCCGTGTGGTCGTGCCCCACTAAGCTTAGCTCTGGCTACCAGGAAGCCAGGCCGCGCTGCTGATGCAGCCACCCTGCACACTGGCAGGGAGTATGGAGGGGGAGGGCCAGCCGGGAGGCTGTGGACATCGGGAGAAGCCTGTTCATTCTGGGCTGCTGGATGTGGTGTTTGCTTGAGACACGGTGGCACCACTGGGCCCAAAACTGCTTCCCTGGCACCGGCCCTACCCATGCCTCCCCACTGCCCTCCAGGGCCTGTCCACCCCTCTCTCTGGGAAGAATGTCTGGTGAACTTGCTCACCACTGGGGTGTATGCAGAGGGAAGGGCAATGCTGCACCATGAGGGACAAGGATGCTCTGAGCCAGGCCTCAGCTACCGTCAGGCCTGAGGGCAGGGCCATCCCAGACTCCTCCTCAACTTCCAGCCCATGGTCTCAGTGTTCCAGGCGCCTTGTCTCCCTGGGCTCTCCTGACCCTGCTTTGCTCATATTCTGTCCAGCATGACACAGAGGAGAGGTCTACAGGGGTAATAGGGATTCAGTGCGGCTCCTTGGGCTACCAGAGCCTTTATTAGTCTTGTTCATCAGACTTAATGGAGAGAGCACATTTCCTGAAAGCTTCCAGGACTTAACCTTTGTCCCCAGGCTGCTGAGCATTCAGGAGACAGAACACATGAAGTGTTGGTACATGTCACCCTCTCCGACTAAGTCACTGTGGAGACCAGACAACAGGTCACTTCTTCAAACGGATTCCCCCATACTCCCAGCCTGAGACTTGCACACGGAGATAGCTGGGCCACCTGGAAGGTCATGGCCTCTGCACCTGGCCCAGAAGGAAGCAGGAGTAAGCTAGCATCCGTGGAACCCTAGAGTACTTGTCTTTCCATTAAACTCATGAGAACAACAAGTTACAGTTCTACAATTGCTCCACCTATCCCGAGGCCCCTCAGAACCCTGGCGCAGATCAGAAGATTTTGCAAAAACTTGTACAGGGAACATCAGCTGGGGCCCGGTGATGAGCACTTGCATCAGCCTGAGACTCAGTTTCAGCCAAACATACACGTACTCCAGAAAGTTGATGGAAAAACAGAACTGAAGGATAATATGAATCTTTCCACGAACTGTTGGAAGTAACTTTGTACATGACCTCAAGCATTGGCTCAACCTGTCCTGGGTTTCTAAACTTCCAGGAATCTGGGATCCTTATAGGCCTATATTTCCCTTTTGATATTTTACTTTCTATGCCAGGATCAAGGGGACTCCCCTTTCCAGGGCTCCGAGAGGTGCTGAGAGGTCTAGAGGGAGAAGAATGGACCTTTGAAGGTGCCCTGGACTAGGACCAGTCAGCTGGCCAAGCACGGATGCAGTGAAGCTCCGATGGGGTGAGCAGCCCTTTGCTCTGGCCAGATCCCAGTGTCAGCATCTGTCTCGAAGAGACGTGGGCTCAGAGGGGGCCCAAGTGGAAGCATGTGGGTGGCTCAAGGTGGCTACTTGCCACTTGACTCCGAGGACCATGGTGCCTTCTGGGGCCTTGGTAGATGCAGGGAGGGTCCTCTTGTTTTGGTGTTCCTGGGTCGGCCTTCCATACCCTTGCAACCAGAGCCAGGAGCCGGTCTGGAAAAGCACTGGAGGAACGGGTGGGGGGCCCCTGCCCATGGTGTGGCCGGCCATGTGCTTACCCGTTAGGATTTTTCCATTGCTCCTGTGGGTCATCCTTTCACTGGTCAGAAGCCTCTCCAAG